GAAAAAGAAATTATTTATATATATTGGTTTCATATAACATTATATACAAATTACTTATTAAATAAACTCAATTATATTTATAGTAAAGAAAAGTTTATATTTTTGTAAAATAAACTGTAATTGAAAGAATGTAGTATAATCTACTATTATACATCAGTACCTGATCAACTCATGTAATCGTGAACCAAAAATAGACAAAAAATGCATAATGCCCTGATAATCCAGATAATCTCACAACCCATGCATGCCACTAAACTGGAATAAAATTACATTGCCCAGATTTCAGAATAGCAAGAGCAAAAATAATAATTTGAAGAGATTTGCATTGGTAAAAAGAAGAAAAATGTTGTTACATAGTAATAGCAGTAAGACGATAATAATCTGAAGGCATCGATGATGGGAAAATAGTGGGAAGGCAAATACCAAAAATCTAAAAATAGAATAATTAGTATTCCAAAAAAAAATATATATAAAACAAAATGAATATAATAAAGAAAAACTTATCAAGTAAATAGAAAGATCCAATGCCCTTATACAACAACAAAATATTTGTTATAGGTGATTAGTTGTTGTAATTGGGAAAAAATATTAGTAGCTGTTAAGAAAAACCAAAGTGCAAAAATGAAAGAAAAAAAAAGCATACTTGCCCAAATCGTATCTAACACTTTTTTATATTTGTTTTGCATTATATTTAAGAAAGAGCTTAATTAATTCATCAGATCAATGCATATAAAGAATATAATAACTGAGGCTAAGCAATAGAACATGATAGTGCTTAAGTTTTTTTATACAAAATCAAAAAAAAATGCACTGATCGATTAAGAAAAACATATCGGCAAACTGTTCTTATTCTATAAATATCATATTTTACAGAAGTTTTTTGTTGATGGATGATTACTGGGACTGTTCTAACATTCTTTTCACCAGATTTATATAATATTGTTAAAGTGTTTTCAATAATTGTTGGCTGTAATTATTACAATGTATTTTAATTTGAAGCTGTTTTTCCAAATTGTTGCTTGTAAGATATAGGTTTTTTATATAAAATATATAATTATAGTAATTATACCAAATAATTATCTGGTGCTGTTGAATAATGATCTCTAACTAAAGTTTCTGGTGCTATTTATGATAAATCTCATAAAGTTTGTGTTTTTCTGCATATAAAGCTATATTTGCTGATATTAAAAGCACAAATCTGCAATGTACAAATAGTAATAACTAAATAGGCAATTTTTACCTTAGATGACATTAAGTAAATAAGATAGAATGAAGACCACTTGACATAAATGTTAAGAATTCAATTTTATTTTATTTTATTTTTTGAATAACAATACTTTTTAAATGTTCTAGCTTGTTTTCATACTACTACAATTTTGCCAATAATGAAGATTACAATTTAATAGTATATTACTATGTGATTGATCAAGCACTAACAATTATATCCTTTAATTAACAGTTATTTAATAAACATTATTAATATATCTGTTTACAAAAAAAAATGCCTAATGCACTAAACTTTAGTATTATATGCACTATATTTACAATTAAAGCAATAGGAATTAAAGTATAGTGTTTGATAGATTTAATAATTGCACAGTTATAAAAATAATAATAATGTATATCAGATGGGTATGCAAAGTCATACCAGTGAATAAGAGCAAGCTTGAGCTTCTGATTTAGTTTTGGCGAGGTAACTTGAAGAATCAGAAGAACCTAAAAATATAAAAATATTTAAAATCAATAATATTATTATCAAGCTATCTGCTAAAATTAAACAAAAAAACCCAGGATATATACTTTTGCATAATATAAACCATTATCTGTTAAATAGTCATCTTGTTCTGTTGTATCCATTTCAACACAAATATTCGAGAAAGCCACTTGTCCATAATAATTAGAAGATGTGCAAATAGCAATCTTATAGTCATTGTCTAGATAAGCAAACTCGAACACTTTAATCAAAACAAAATATCTTGTGATGACCAATACTCGATACTTTGAAGATAATTATGAATACAATATTTCAGTTTTTTGAAACTGTGCACCTATAAATTATCTAAAGTTGATGCATTTGCTAGCTAGTTTATAACTTGATCGATCATATGCTATGTTATCTTTCTGATAGCTTTGTTTGCTATAATATCATGATATAAGCCATTATTGGAACTTGTCTGAAATTTTAACACAAGTAACATAAAGATATTCTGCTGAGTTATCTTATAAAATTTAAAGTTTAATTAAAATTAATATTGGTATTCACTTAATTGTAGGTACCCATTATTAGATTTTTACATTAAATAACCATAATCTATCAAGAAAAAATACCTACAGTTGCTTGCATTTGCATGTTTAAATTGCATTTATTTGTAATGTGAAATGGTTGCTTAACATTAGTTTTATACAATAATTCATAAGTTTCACTTGTAAATCCATTGATAGCTTTGAATTGATGAATTGATGGTATTAAGTAAAAGTGCCAACTATGTAACTTGGGTAAATTTAAGTTTGATGGTGAAAATTTTGCTAGAAGTTTTATAAATAAATCACACCATTCAACTATCAATTCCTGGTAAAAAGAAAAGAAATAATTAGTTAACAAATTTATGTTATTTTTTATTTTATTTTTTATTGATTTATTTTATTATATTTTTATTTTATTTTTTATTTTTTATTTATTTTTGTATTTTAATTTATTTTTATTTTATTTTTTTTTATTTTTTATTTATTTTTGTAATTTTTGTTATTTTTATTATTATTATATTATTATTATTTTATATAAGTGATTGTTATTAGTAAACTTGCCTCGAATTTACTAAGATTCAATTTTGTATACTTAGATCGACAACTCCATATATATATGTCAATCCATAATGAGTAAAGATCACATAGATTTTTGTTTAGATTTTTTAGGGTATTAACTTATCCAAGATGAATAATATCATCTTCATTAAAGCCCTATATTTAGCTGCAATCAATCAGTTAAGTCTTTTAAATCTATTTTTGAACACTTTAAGATTTGGATAATGAGAGATTTGAGAAAGACATTTCTTAAGAATTCTTATTGGATAGTAATCATACTTCAAATTTAATAGTTCGACAGTAAATTGTAGTTGATGTTGGAAAAGTTCTAGATCTGCATAATGCATACAATCAGGCACACATATAGTATAAACATTAAAGTATCTATATATGAAAAAATTTAATTAGATAATTACGCACTAACCAAAATTAATTAATTTATAAAGTTACTAATGATCTCTTCCACAGAGCATTTCTTATATAATGTATTGAGATTTGCTTACTATTCTTACTATTATTCATATTACTCTGATTATCCTGCCTTAAAACATCTTTAGTTATATTTTCATTGTGAATAATTATGTTTTCTTTTTCAAAATATATATTATTCATTGAATTACAGTCTATTAAGCAGAAATGACATAGACATAAAAAATTTAGTGTTTTATAGATAGCATACATCAAAGATGCTTCAGGCCAATTAGAAATTATAAGTGCCAAATATGGGTAGAACTATTTAATATTACTATTAACATATAGATGAATACTAGTATTACTTAGGAACATTAGTGTCTAAGCAGTAGAAATTGCTATATAAAAAAGTTTTCATGTTGCCATTTGAAATTTGGCTAATTTTTTTTCAGATGTACTATGATACTTGAGAGTAGAAATATATTCAAGTAAAATTTTTGCATCAATCTTGTTGCGGCAAGCCAAAAGAATATTTCCAAGTATCATAAATACAGAATGCCTTAATGTCTTGCCCAAATGATTGCAAAGGGTAGCATCTGAATAAAGAATTATTGGCATTACATGAGCTCCAATTGGAAGATTTTGCTCTACATTTTTCCATCAGTCAGAAGCATGCATATCAGAATACTGACAATCACTAGATATCCTTAATTATAAAATAAAAATAGTTAATATATACTTGTTAATATATACTTATTATTATTATTATTATTATTATTATTATTATTATTATTATTATTATTATTATTAAATATTATTAAATATATTATTCATATTATCTATAGAAAACTTATATTTAAATATAAACTCTTTAGTGATACTCCTATTTAATAATATTTGATGGATTTTATTAAGTACTGTCCTGAATTCAAATATATATTCTAACTCTTTGTACTTAAAAATAACTTTCTTTCTCTAGCCAAAATTTGGAAGGTTAAGATTTTTAATGAACACCCACCCAGTTAGTGATGATGATGGTAAGAGATAGTCATTATGATTAGAATATTTGTTAAAGAACCTTATAAATGCATTTGCAAGTGGATCTTGTACATGAAAACATGTTATTATGTTCATAAATTCTGCATATTCCTCTGATGGAAATTCTTGATATATATCTTCAAGGCCTTTCCATTTTCTAGCAATTAAATTATTATATTCAGCGAATTCATTAATGTCTGTATTTGTTATGTCTAATAAATCAGATACTGCAGATTCATTATTGGATATGTTGCTGTAGGAATCGCTTGTGTCAGATACTATGGATTCATTATTGGATGTGTTGCTGCTGTAGAAATCATTTGCATAATTAAAAAATTTGATGTTCTGTTCTTTGACAGATTCATGGCTTTGAGAGAAGTTTGTATAGTTGAAAAGTGAAACATCAAGGTTTTGTCCTTTATTAGATTCACCTATATTAAAAATACTCTTCTCCAAAATATTGTTCAAATTGCATTCAAAACATATTCTCTTATGATTTACTTTAGTCTTTTCAAGTATATTTTGTTCTCTAGAAATGCTTTTATTATTAAAAACTTCAGGGGGTTTTTTTTAGATGAAATTTGAAATTTTGTTTGGCTTAGAGAAGGTAAATTGTCATCACTGTTATCATGATGTTTTCTAATTTGATTACCCAATGCTTGCCAGTTTTTAAAAGTTTTATTACAAGAGAAACACTTGGGCATTTTGAAGAATATATAGTTTTAAGGTTACTAAGACTCATAGTTGGTAATATTCTGTTGAATAATTAGCTCTACAACATTAGTAAGACTTTATTTACACTTTACATTCTACTTTCTAGCTTTACCTTATTTTAGTGCCAAAAACATTACTTTCACATCTATTATCTACCAAAAATATGCCATTCACACTTTGTCAACCACTTTATTTTATAAAATACACACTTATTTCTTTATTGTTATTAAAAGAGAAAACTATTTTAATTATATATTAATTTTTTATTATACTTTACCATATTTTACTACAAATGCAATAATGTTAACTAATATAATTATGCAAATATTGATTAAAGTCAGGTCGCATTCATATTATATGATCATGCTATTACCTTATTAGTGTAAATTAGGAGTTTATTTTTATGCATGCAGAGCTAATTTTAATAGATGCATAATTATTATGATATGACACATTAAATATATAATTACAGTATAGGAATAAATAGTTAATTGGTAATCGATACTAATAGGATTCTCTTAGCAATAAAAAAATAAGTACATTATAAAGTAAGGTGATGCCAAAGTATATTAAATCAAGCACTGTAACTTGAAATAAAATCTTACTTTGTTTATACTTATATTTTATGGATAAATATTCCTTTTTTACAAATATGGATCATGCAAGAAAAAGAACATCAACTGTAATAAGGTGCAAAAGTGCACAACATAATTTGCCCTATATTGACCTTTCTGAGGAGCAAACAAGTACTTCAAATGCTCCAAAAACTCCAAGCACTTCAAGCAACTCTACCCAGATCACCAAAAATGGATCTATGGAGACCCAACTAGATGAACATAATAATAATGCTATGTTGCACAGTCTGAAAGATTATTTTTCAAACAATAATAAGAATTTTGTTGATGACATTTCTGAAAATAATTCAATTAATTCTAATTCTAAGCGAAAAAACCAAGTAGATGGTAATGTTATAAATGCACAAAAAAAAATTTGTAAGTTAAATGAATGTTTTTTGATCTTTTATATCACTGTATTACTTATTCTATTTTTTTTTTTTTTTTTTATAGGTCTTATTTCCACTATTAAAAATATGCAAGATGTGCAACTTCAATTAGTTATCATAATCTAAGAGATCCAAAAAAAATCAATGAAATACACACAGACTGGAAAGCCATTAGTTTTAGTCATTCAGAAGACGATTTTAAGTAGATAGAAGTACGTACATAAATGATAAATGACACATTAACTTTATTATTTAACCTGCTAAATACTTGCATCAGAATGCAATAGATCATACAATTTATGATATAATTGAGAAGGTAAAGTATTTGACTGATGAACACCTTATGGAAGTTTGCTATAATGCATTATCAGATGCAAAAAAAGATGAATTTTAAAATAAAATCAAAAATTGCAGTTGGAAGCATTTTTTTAACAAGCATATTCATCACTTGGTAAGTATAATTAAATTATTGTTCATAATATATTATTTAATCATACTATTACTATTTAAACAGACTCAAAAGTTTGCCTGCTAGGCAAGAAGCAACATAGTCCAATGAATTAAAGATACCATTCATACTGAATTTCCAGACCTTATAAAGCCTAAAATGAAAAACCAACAAGTCACATATAAGAAAGAGCAGAGGTTCAAAGATGCTAAAATTATATGAGAATGTTATATGAAATTAAATAAACCCATAGACACTAATGACAATTAACAATACACTTATCATAACATGATCATCGATTGTACTTTTACAGATCTAAACACAGAAAAATTCTATTGTATTTGGAATGGCCATTGCCCTAAATTATCTTGACTCCTCAAAAGGAATTAATATGGTTCTAACTGAAGTCATAGATTGGATGAACTACATTCTTAAAAGGATGCAGGTCACAGAGCTCAAAGAGTTGTGAGCAAAAAAAATTACATGTATTAATGAATGCCAATACTTTTTGCTTAAGGGTATTATTAAAAAATCAAATAAAAAATAAATAAATAAATAAAAATAATAAAAATAAAAAAAAAATAAAAAAATAAAAAAAAAATAAATAAAAAAATAAAAATAAATAAAAATAAAAAAAAGAGCAATAATAATAGATCCAAGTACTGTATTGTTTTTTCTGTAACGGTATCTTAACTTTTGTATGGAATAAATGAGAAACCACAATTAGATTAGAAAATATTTATTACTGTCTAGATGTCAAATTTTCTAATCATAGTTATGCTTGTTTAGATTTTAAGTATTCATTCAATATGACCAGATATATATATATATAGTAAGTATAATGATCAACTTGTAGAGCATTTACTCAATGTATTGGTATAAGAATCAAATTGCAAGTATTCACTATTGTTTGCATTTTAATAATTCTTTTCAAATGTTTGTTCTGTAATTTTGCATTATGGTATAACAGTTAATATTTTAAATTCAGGTTCATAGATATGCTTATCTCTCAATTTACTTTATTTGCAAGATGTTCAAAAAGAATAGCAATTTTCCCATCATTAATAATTTCATTAAACATAAAATTTTTTTATTACAATATTATAAAAAAAAATTTTATATTTAATAAAATCGAATAGGTATTTGTTTTTAAAAGAGAATTATTATTTAAAGTTTTTTTTGCTCAAATTTTATAATTTATAGTATTAAAACAATTGAAATTATATATCAAAAATTTAATATATAATAAGTTAAAACTGCTTCAAGCTAATATGTGTTTGTATAAGGATCACACTAATAATAACCAACAACCAATGCCAGTGTTGGCCTATGACCTTAAATGACCTATATAACCTTTATGATCTGTCATAGGTTATTTGGTCATAACAAAGGTTTGATATAACTTATGACCTCTTTAATATAATAAAAATCATAGTAAAAAAAAATTTTTATTAGCATTTAATATAATCATATAACTATGACCAAGGCTATATAGAAAAAAAATATTATAACTTAGGTCATTGGCTAACACTGACCAATGCTACTCAAAATATTATTTTACTTTTAATTCCTGATCCTTATAAAGAATATGTGAATCCAATAAAAGTCAAACTTGTTATAGTGAAGTAATCGTTTCTAGTAACAAAAATTTTATAAAAATTTATTATGTCAAAAGTTATTTACTATATAATTTATAAAGACTGGCTTTGAGTTTGACTTTATTATATCAAAATTTAATTAGTCTTCACTAGAGTTTACTATATCTTTATTATGTTGAAAGTCTACTATAACAAGAGTAGCTTGTATATGTCATTCTGGTTATACCAACATCTGGATATAACAACATTATAGTAAAATCTTTCTATACTGACATTTTTAATATAAAATGTTATTATAACTCACTATATTGACATTTTGAACTTTTTACTAATGACTTGAAAATGTTAATATAGCCAGAGTAATGTGTACTAATAACTCTACTATATTCTCTAGTATACAGTAGCAGAGTTTGAATGTATTAATTGTGAATTCTGATCATGATTGCCATATGTTAATAGGTCATACCTTTTAATATAAATATAACTTGTACTACTTACCAATCATTTTACTTCTACTCTCTTCCTAATAATCAAGTTAGTGTATTTATATGAGAAAAAAGATTATGCCAATTTGCATTTTATAAATTAGGAGGAAAAACTACTAAAGTATTACACTTTTATTAGACCTTCCGAAGTTATGAACACAAATTAGTTATTTATTGAAATGAAAGGTTACTTTCGCATTATAAGTAGATGCATAATGGATATATTTATTAAAGCTAATATACACAACAAATATCAATAGTTACTGTATTTGTATAATGGTATAGTAATGATTTTCTATTTTTAGATTTGGCACAAATACTTACTAGTGCTAAAACAAACATTTCTGCATATTGGTATATTGAGTACCAAAAATAAAAACAAAAACAGTAAAAAGAATAATGAATTGAGCAGCAACAACTCAGTGTCTTTCGGTTATACAAGAGAAGTGTTTCTGGCACAAACTTCAAGTCAATAATTTTGTATAAAATACTTAAATGACAATCTTGAGTTACCCAATCCTTAAATGAAGGCACTTTCAATCGAAGCATGAAATTATAATAGTTTGGCTTTAATTCTGTTACTGCGAAGACATGAAATCAAATCCTTTTCTTAAGATTAAGTATTTCTCCTCAATTCTACTATGTTTTAATTTAGTAATATAGTATTGTATTCTAATTTCTTATATTATTTTTATCTAGTTTTCCTTACTATTCTCAAACTTGGATCATTGCTAATTCTCAATATATCTCACAATACTTTCATTTGGTTTTGTGATAATTTGCAATAATGAATATTTAATTTGTACAGCAAAATTTTTCAGAACTAATCACTACCATCCTTGACAAGAATTAAGACATCTTTTGCTTTTCTTTCTCTGATCAGGCAACGATACAAATTCCACATATTTCTTTCAGCAGAATATGAGTATCGGTTTTCATCTATTACAAATATTACTCATATCACTATATTAAAAAAATTGCACCACCAAATTATATTGAATCAGAAAGGTATTTTAAAACCCATTTTAGAGTTCAATATATTAAATTAGCTTTGATCAAGATAAGCTTGGTAGCTCTTATATTCTCAATAATTTATTTATATCTTTGGCTGAGCTTCATTAAACTTAACTTCTAATTACTAATTTTTATAAAAACAGTTGTTGGTCACACCTTTCCTTCATTTTTTAATCAAGCTTTTTTTATTTATTGTGTACAGTTAGCTTTTATGGTTGACATTAGTTGACCCATGTGTACCAGCAACAAACATGATACTCTTCCCCTTATAATTTATATAATTGGATGAATTTAGAGAGCATATGTCCATTTTACAACCCATTTATCCTTAATTAAGAATGAATGAATATTTTAAGCTCCACTTTATATGCTCATATATGTGATTGTATTTTCATATTCATAATTTCATTTCTATATTTATCTACATGCCCTATTTCATCTAATTAAGTTGCTAAAAATTCAACACTATTATTTGAATATTAACTAATTTACTGAAAGAAATCTATTCGGTTACATCGTCATTTTTTTTAATGCAATCATCAATATCTTTATTTCATTCATCCATCATTCTGTTGTTCTCTGAGAATCACAAGTTTGACACTGAGCTTCAAAAATGTTATATAATTACATTTTGCACATTTTTTATATTTTTAACACCTTCTAGAATTAATTCATCAAATTTATTAAATACTAATATATATTTATCTGTGATTCACATACACTTATATATATATATTATGAATTATACAGAATCTTATTAAGCATCTCATTGTTGTTAACCTGTGCCCTGAGACATGACCACCTTACCATCATCTTATAAAAATAAATGAAGACTACTAAGAACACATTTAAATACATAACAATACTTGATATTAATGGTTACATTTATCATACCAAACCAAATTTAGTTTTACAACATTTTCTGAAACAAAATAAATCATTATATAGCAAATACTGATACTAATATTAATGCTATTAAAACTTTCACCACCCTAATGATAAGAGGCTATGATCAAGATGCAAATAGATTTGTTCTAAGTAATTAAGAACAATTAGATTGCATCATAGGTTTTTTATTATAGAATCATGAGATTTAATTCCTATTGCTATATAAATAAGAACAAGTGAAATAGCAGATTGAATTCATAGATAATATCAAATTCAATGGAATATTCTTTTTGAAGATAAGTTATATTGCTTATATACCTTTTAAATACATATAACAAGAACTTATTCAATTAATTTATTTTTTCTATATATATATGTATTGCATCCTTAATCAGAATCTGTCCTGGTTTAAATATCAAGGCAATCCTGAATGAGAATTTTGTAATTTTAATCCTAATTATACTAACAAATTATTCTAACTTTAATTCAACCCTAAAATTAGCTCTAAAGTCTAAATTTCATCAAAATAATTTACAAGATTCCTATCTAAGCAACCTAATTCTGAATCAGTATGATTTCAATTTGAGGTACACATATATATTTATTAGTTGTACTAATTTTAATACGCAAAAATAACTACTATTATTTATAAAAAATTTTGCTAGTCTAACAAATTTCAAAAATGCATAGAAGTACAAATAATTAAAATAATTATTAGTTTTAATAAATACAGTAATATTAATACAATTTTTTTTCTATTTGATTATTAGTTAATTATAAATTTGATATTCTATTACTAGTATATAAATTTAATGATATGGTGATTAAAAGCATTTTATTTAAACATTGTATTTATATTTTTATTATATATATAAATAATATTATTAATAAATAAATTAGAAGTATTTTATTTAAATATTATTGTTATATTTATATTTTTATTATATATAGAATTAATATTAATAATAAATAAATTATAAATATTTTATTTAAAAATTATATTTATATTTTTATTATATATAAAATAATATTATTAATAGATAGATTATAAATATTTTATTTAGATATTAAAATTATATTTTATTTAAATATTAAAATTATATTTTATTTAAATATTAAAATTATATTTTATTATAATATTAAAATAATATTTGTATTAAATAACTGTTTAACAAATATCAATATTAATTAGGATTAAGGTATATTGAAATCTATTTAATAAGTATTTAAAATAATT